GGTGGGTGGTACTGGCATTACAAAAGTGCTGATTACAAAGACAATAATAAAAAGTGGTCATTGCTTGACTTAGGAGAGGGTATCCCAAGGCATTCCTCTCCAGGATTACTTGGAGAGAACAGCCTATTGTCCCCAGTGTTGGGAGGTATGAATGAATAAAGAGTTGAAGTGCTTTTTAGAGAATTGACTAAAAAGATGGAGGATAAGCTCAGTGAGTTGCAATACTGAGCACTTAACATATAGTTTGCATTCTACTAGGACTTTATTTAGAGTTAATACCAAATTGATTTTGACTCCCTGTTGTACCTTTTATAGAATATGTAAACTTGGGAAGAGTACTTAACCTCAGTTTCAGTGTTTTAGTTTCTTCACCTATAAAAAGGGATGACTCCTCCTTGAGTTCTGTGCCATAGAACTGTTATGAGGATTAAACAAGTTAATGCAAAAGGTGTTTAGGCCTAAGTCAGGCACCTAGAAAGCATTGTGGGACTCAATGGCAAACAATTTTTAAATAAAATAAATCATCTCTTGTTTTTTCTTATTTGTCTCTTATCCCTCTCTACAGTCTCCTTGGTTGCTTTTCTCCCCCTCTCAGTGCCTTAAGACAGGCTGCCCCAGAGTCCAGTTCCTGGTCCTCTCTTTTGGTTTCACTGATACACATATTTCTACTCTCTTGGCAATTATTTCCAGTATCATGGCTTCAAATATCAGCTCTCTGCTGATGATTGAGCTCTTTCCTGAAGCCCAGACTTGTGGTATCCTGTAATTTATTATTTCCACTTTCAGGTTTAATAGCCATCCTTAAATCCAGTGTGCTTATTACTCAACCACCAACCTCCCACTCTTACCTGCTTGACCCACTGCCTTCCCATTCTCACTGGAGGGCAGGTCTGTCTTTTTAGCTGCTTTGAGCCAAAACCTGGAGTCCACCACGACTCCTTTCTCCTTCATACCTTATGTATAATTCATTAGGAGATTCTGTAGGTTTCAACTTCAGAATGTGTTTGAGGCTCTCACCTGCATCTTATCACCTGTGTGGCAATCACACTGGTCTTGTTTGATGGTAGCACTGGCCTCCACACTGCGTTTCCCATTTCTTCCCTTCATCTACCAATCTATTCTCACAGTGGCCAGGGAAATCCTTTTATAAACTAAGTCGTCTACAGTCTGAACAGGACAAGGATGCTCACTCTCACCACTCTTATTGAACATACTTCTGGAAGTACTATCCAGAGAAACCAGACAAGAGGACAAAATACAAGGCATCCAAACTGGGAAGAAAGACGTATAAGTGTCACTTTTTGCAGATGACATGATTCTTTAATAGAAAACCCTAAGAACTCCAACAAAAAAAACTACTAGAAATCATAAATACAGTAAAGTTGCAGTAAAGTTGTACAAACTACAAAAGTTGATTTTGTATACATTGATACAAAATCAATGTACAGAAATCCACTGCTTCCCTATATGGTAACAATGAAACTTAAGAAAAACAATGAAAAAAAAGAACAGTTCCTTTTGCAATTGCAATAAAAAGAACAAAGTACTTAGGAGTAAACTTAACAAAGGATGTGAAGAACCTGTATACTGAAAACTACAAAGCACTATTAAAAGATATTGGAAAAAAAATGTCTTTTCCATGTTCATGCATTGGAGGAATCAACATAGTTAAAACGGTCATGTTACTGAAAATAATATATAGATTTACTGCAATCCCCATAAGGGGACAGTCACCTACAAAGGAGTTCCCATCAGACTGTCAGCTGATTTCTCAAAAGAGACCTTACAGGCAAGAAGGGGCTAGAAAGAAGTATTCCAAGTCATGAAATCCAAAGACCTACAACCAAGATTGATCTATCCAGCAAAGCTTTCATTTAGAATGGAAGGACAGATAAAGTGCTTCTCAGATAAGATCAAATTCAAGGAGTTCATCATCACCAAGCCCTTATTATATGAAATGTTAAAGGGACTTATCTAAGAAAAAGAAGATAAAAAAGATGAACAGTGAAAGGACAGCAAACTCAGTTATTAAGAACCACACCTAAAACAAAAGCAAACTAAGAGGACAGCTAGATCAGGAGCAGAACCATAGAAATGAAGATCACATGGAGGGTTAGCAACAGAGGAGTGGGAGAAGGAGAAGGGGGGAGAAGGTACAGAAAATAAGTAGCATACATGGTAGGTAGAAAATGGATAGGGGGGAGGGCAAGAATAGTAGGGGAAATATAGAATCTAAAGAACTTGAGACACGTGTTCATGAACTAAAGGGGGGAATGGTGGGGGAGGGGTGTGCAGGGTGGAGGGGAATGAAGGGGGGGGAAATAGAACAACTGTAATGGCATAATTAATAAATATATTTTAAAAATCCAAAAAAAACTAATGTAATTTTTTAATGAAATAGAACACAAAAATAATCAGATTTGTGTGGAACCACAAAAAGACCCCAAGTAGCCAAAGAAATTCTGAGAAAAAGGAACAAAGCTAGAGGTATCACACTACCTGACTTCAAATTATACTACAGAACTATGATAGTCAAAACAACAGCATATTGTCAGAAAAATAGACAAACTAACTAATGGAACAGAATTAAGAGCCCAGAAATAAAACCACATGTATACAGGCAAATAATTTTTGACAAAAGAGCCAAAAACACACAATGGAGAAAAGAAACTTTTCAAATAAATGATGTTGGGGAAATTGGAAAGTCACATGCAAAAGAATGAAACTACATTACAGTTTGACCCAATGTACAAGAAGTAATTCGAAATGGAACAAAGACCTAAATATACAATCTGAAACAACAAATTACATAGAAGAGAACATAGGTAGTAAACTTATGGATTTTTGTCTTAAAAAATTTTATGATTTGACCTCAAAGGCAAAGAAAGTAAAGGCAAAAATAAATGTATGGCAATAAGTTTCTGTACAACAAAAGAAACCAACAACAAAACAAAAAGGCAAATAACCAAATGGGAAATTATATTTATAAACAACAGCTCTGACAAGGTGTTAATATCCAAAACATGTTACTATTTCATACAATTCAACATCAAACAAATGAACAATACAGGGCAGAAGACCTAAACAGACAACTCTTCCAAGAAGACACACAAATGGCCAACAGATATACTTCAACTTCACTAGATATTAGAGAAATGCAAATCAAAATTACAATGAGATACCACTCACATCTATTAGGATGGCTATTATCAACAAGACTGGTAATAACAAGAATTTTTATGGAGGTTGTGGAAAAAAGGTTTCTACTCAGTGCTCAGAGGAATATACACTGGCACAGCCACTATGGAAAACAGTATGGCACTTCCTCAAAAAAACAAGAATAGAGTTACCACATGACCCAGCAATCCCTCTTCTGGGTATCTACCACCCCCCAAAACCAGAAAACACTTATTTGCAAAGATATATGTACTCCTATGTTTATTGCAGCATTATTCACAGTGGCCAAGACATGGATACCACCAAGGAGTCTTTCAATAGAGGAATGGATAAAGAAGATGGGGTACATACACACTAAGGAATAGTACTCAGCCATATGAAAAGAAAAATAGTACCATTTGCAACAACATGATTGGACTTTGAGAATATTGTGTTAAGTGACATGTCAGTTAGAAAAAGCTAATAATCATATGACTTCACTCATAGGTAGAATATAAAACTGAAACTCATAACAGACAACAGTATGGTGGTTATGAGAAGGAAGGGCTTTACTATACTTATGGATTGTAAAGGGCTAAGAGGGCAAAATATATGGTAACAGAAGATGATTTGACTTTGGATGGCAGGCATACAATATAATGTACAGATCATGTATCATAGAAATGTACGCTTGACACCTATATGACCTTATTAACCAATATCACCCCAATACATTTAATTAAAAAAAAAAACAAAGTAACTCAAGATACATCATGCTTCTGTAAAACCTTCTGATTGCTCCCACTACCCTTAGAGAAGAGCTGAAAGTCCTGACAGGACTTAGAACTCCAGCATCTTCCTCACCTAGCTTCACTCCACTTCCTTCCAGCCACACTGGCCAAGAGCACCATGCTTGCAGACCTCTGTCCATTAGTCCCATTTACCCAGAATGTTCTTCAGCTCAGCTCTTTTCTTCATTCCCACAAGCCTTTGCTCAAGTGTCATTTTTTTCATTGTTGCCTTCCATAGTGATTCTATTTGAAATCATAACCATCCTGGTTACTCCAGTCTCACCATACCTGACTTCTTATTATATAGTATCTTTCACCTCCTACCACACTGTCTAATTTATTTTCTTATTATGTTTACTTTCCAGTGTCTGCCATCCTCCCTGGAATGTAAGTATTGCAGGGACAAGGCTATCTCTGTATTAGTGCACTCCTGAGTCCTAAGCTACTAAAGCACTGCCTGGCAGATAGCAGGAGTCCAAGACATATTTATTAAGTGAATATCCACAAAATATAATCTCCTAAGGACTGGTTTATTAACTTAAAGAGACTGATGAACTTACTAAGTCAGAATCCTAACACAGGCCCATGTTCTCCCTACCATAATTTGTTCTCCCGACATTAAATTTGTATTGACCCATCCCTTCTTCCAAAGGACACACTGTTTAGCAGTCAACTCATGTCAAAAAGTTGTTGAAAGGTTGTCACACAACTAGCATTTAGTGAGTACATGTGCTAGGTCAAAGAGTGAAACAAATGACAAAGATTAGCAAATGCAGTTCAGAAGTTTCCAGTGGTAACTTTAGATCACTTAGCTGAGTGTCCTTGAATACTATATCCTCTGTGTGTGCCAGGTGACCAAACTGGACTCTCTGAGGCCCCTGCACAATCCCATGATATAAGGAAATATCACTTCCCCTCATATTATAGTACTAAAACTCCAACACATCTTTGCAAAGTTGCACCCTGTAAAGGAAGTTTATTACAATACTCTGAAAGATTCAGTTTCCTTCTGGTGAAGATAGAAACTTTGCTGGGAGAAAAAACTCTACTCACCAGAATGAAGACGGTAAAGAATATGACAACAATTGCAGCCGTAATGAAGAGCTTTTTCCTGGGAAACACAGCAGCAGGAAGGAGAAACACCAGCGCAAAGCAGATGGCCCCTCGGAGCCCTCCATAGGCAATGATGAACTGATCCTTAAAGGTCAGGGGAATCGTCCGGAACCAGTTAATGGCCTGAGTTAGTACAAAGACACCTGAGAAGAAAAATGGAACCAAAGAAAGCAGACTGTATGAGGACATAATGTGTAAAAACAGAATAGTTTCCTGTGCTTTTGTAACAGGGGAAGGATTTAAGAATAAGCCCCAAGGAAAATTTCCCCCTTTTCTTTTGCCTTGCTTATACTACTAGGCTGTTAGGTAAAAGACAATGTTTTAAAAATGTGTACTCAGAGGAGTCAAGAAAGGTTAATGTGACCTATTACAAAGATGCTTGAGGAAGAAAAAAATAGATCAGGAACAGGGAGAAGAGAATAAAGAGGATGAGAAAAAGAAAGAAAGGAAGCCCAGGAAGATGAAGTAGAGCAGCAACAAAGGAGAGATGTGACAAAAAAGCCCAATTCTTTCAGTGAGCCAATGTATGTTCATTTCGGGCAACGCACTCATTACCCAGTGCACGCCAGATCAGACAGAAGGCCAGGGTGAAGCAGACAAAGGCCCAGTTCCACTCATGGTTCTTCCCAACAGTGGATACTCCCATGAAGATGAAGATCAGGGTCTCGCTGACACTGCTCAGCATCTTCATGAAATACTTGATGGTCGTGTAAGATTTTTGAGATACATTTTCCTCCACATACTTGTTCATAGTCATTGCACAAGCAGTGATTCTGCAAGAAAAGATACAGCTTCTATTTAAACACGACAATGGTGCTAATCAGAATATGAGTCAGCACTTAAGAGCTAAATATGGCCCACCCTTCTGCCAATGACCACAACATTATCAGTTGATTTTTATAAATGAATATGATTTATATCCTTGTAAACCCTACTGTCTCTGGAGGTCTTCGTCAATACAGATGATTGGAACTACTCACCTTCACCCTGCTTTCCCCACAGCTCTCCTTACTCCAGGTCCATATTACCAAAGGTCTGTGAACACTGGCACCAAGAGCTATCCTGTCAGCATCATAAAGAATGCAAGTCTTTAATAAATTCACAACCTATTACCTTCCTATAAAATGAGTTCCATCTTCTCTATTCCTCTAGTGCCTAAATAAAATCTTCAACTTGAAACTGAGGTTGCATTGAAGTTCTCTGCCCTGCCACACCTCCTCAGCACCACACCCCAATATCAAATTGGTCACCACTTGTTTTCTATCCTTCATCTTGAGTATCATTTGATCTCTCTCTCTCCTCCCTCAATGCCTTAGTTCTGAGTTGCATTTCTTCTTATGTACTGCATCCACTTCTGAAAAATTTTAAAGGTGTCTCTAGGCTCTGAGAATTCCTAAAGAAAGAAACTCTCCAGCTTGTTTTCCCCAGTTTTTCAAAAACTCTGGGACCACACTATGTCTATTTTAATATAGCACCTTTGCATACTCTGGTAAAGGAAGGGCTCTGGGATCAGCTCCTAAGTGGGGCTTCTGAAGCTCTTCACACACCTCCTACCTGCTCTCCACCCAGCATGTGCTATATGTCTCAACAGTCTGTAATTTCCCAAACGTGCCCTACTGTTTCCTGTCTTCTCACCTCACTGTACACATATGCTCCTCTCTACCTGGAATGATACACTTGACCAACTCAAATGCTACCCATAGAGGGAAATTTAGTATGAGCTAGATGGTAGCTTATGCTGGGTCACCTCTGAGGAGACATAATTAATAGTACCAAAAAGACTTCATTGTCAGAGGGTGCTGTAGAATGAAAAAGGAAGACATTTTTGTGAGTCAACTCCCCCATCCATTGAGGGAGGACGATGCCATACATCAATTACTGGTCATGATCTATGAAGTTTTCTACAGTCTTATACCTTTAGAGTTATAATGACCCTACATGTACCCTCATGCCCAACCACTGCACAAAGTCCTTCTTACCCTGAGACAGTTTCTGACGGTTTAGGAAAAGCCTCCTCATTGTGAGCACAGGATAAACAAAAGAATGAAAACCTAAGGATTCTCTGAGTTAAGGCTTACAGAGGTAACCATGAACATATTTCATTGCAAGGAACAAGCCTGTTTCTTATAGAAGAGAAATGGGTATTTTTGCTCCCCATATTAAAAAAAGACAAAAATCCCACCAAGCCAAGACTATGTATTTAGCCACAATGCCATTGCCCCTAGAATAGGCAGGTATTTATTCTAGATTTATATGCATGAGCAATATGTAATTCATGCTGTTCCCAAAAGAAAGAGTGCATTATTAAATAGGGTAATGAAGTTTGGCCACCATAAACACATAATAAAGCCTGTGAATAGCTGAAGGCTTATATAATAATAGGCATTGTTTATGGCACCTTCACTCTGTGCTAGGACCTGTGCAAACAGCATGAATTACATCAGTTACATCTCATAAGAAGCCTCTGAGGCAAATTCTATTATCATTCTCATTTTACAGATGAGAGAACAAAGGCAGATAGAGGTCCAAGTACTCCAGATTATACTGCTAATACATGACAATTCCCAGATTTTAACACAGGGGGTCTAACTCAAAGCCAACACTGTTAATTACCCCTTGCTCTTTCCAAGCTTTGCAAGGGCCTGATTATCTCTGAGGTGATAAAGGTCTTCTTTCACTGCCAAGGCACTTGCCCCTCCTTTCTCAATCACAAGACAGTTTGTATTAGTCTCCTATGGAGACTCCCTCCTACTATAAAAAATTATCAAGAACTTAGTGATTGCTACAACACAAATATATCATCTTACAATTGTACAGGTCAGGAGTTTAAAATCATTTTCACTGGTCCAAAATCTAGGTTCCAACAGGGCTGCGTTCTTTCTGGAGGCTCTAGGGGAGAATATGCTCTTTGCCTTTTCTGGTTTCTGGAGGCTGCTCATAATCCTTAGCTTATGGTTGCATCACTCTGACCTCTGCCTTCCTGTTCACATCTCCTTCTCTAACTCAGACCCTCTGCCTTCCTCTCATCAGTACCCTTGTGATGTCATCAAGCACACCTGGATAATCCAGTATCACATCCCCATCTCAAAATACTAACTTAGTCACATTGTTGAAGTACCTCTTCCAAAGTAAGATAAATGTTCGTGGATTTTGAAGATGAGAACCTTTGGGAGACATTATTCAGCTGACCAGACTATTGCTGGCATTCACCTCCCTTGCAGTTGAGGCCACAATGAAGTGTAGGCCTCTGGATGGGTGTGACCAAAGCTGGTCACTTGTGCTTGTGACTGAAATGAGTAGGAGCTCTGTCACACTTACAACAGAGACTGAGGGGAGTGGAAAGTGTCTGAGTAAGCCTTCAGGGGGAGGGGGCATCTTGCTAGACCCACCCCCAAAATAAACCATTGGCTAACTACATTATTTGGGGTTAATTTTTCTTAAACTAGACTTCAAAATTCAATATTAATCCAACACAAAATAATGAGGGCAAAATCCAGAATTAATTAAGAATCTAAATTGTAACAGTTTATAAAGAAAAGACATATACAGCAACACAAACTAACAAGCCTTTTTGAAATGGCCAAGTTGGAAATTTGTAACAAAAGCAATTATAATGTCCATATTACTTCTTGAAACTCTCAATCCTATGCTAAAAATGTTTCCAATTCATTTTTATTATAAAGCATTAAACTTAGAGACAAAAGTGGAGAATAATAAACACTAAAATACCCACTACACGGCTTTTTCCAATGAATTTTATTTTTTAAAATAAAACATGAGCTAGAGAATTGAAACTCCTATATTTCTCATGCCAACCTTACTTTATTCTCTCCCTCTTGATTTTAGATTTTTTTGTTTATTCTTCAAAAACTGATTTTAAAAGGCTGAAGAATATTGTCTTTTTTGAATGTCCTAAACATTTCCTTCTGAGATCATGTTCACTTCAGTCACTGAGCAAAATGTGAACCAGGCAAAGAGTAGTCTTCAGTTCATCATGTGAAAATTTAACAGAAATTTCTATTATGAAATGATTGAAAAAAATCAGCCTTGGTGAAAGAATAAAAAATAAATTTTACATGAATGTCCACAGGATCTTTCCATTGCTTTGTATCCTTAACATGACACCAGAAAAGATTCTCAAGTCTGCCAGACACCTCACTGTAACTTAAATCTGCTTCCTTCCAGCACAGGTGAAATACAGAAGGGAAAAAGAATACCCTCTAGTTTCCAGAGGCTTCAGCACAGGGCGTGCCCCGTTCAAGAAGTGTGGGCATGTCTATGACATGGATGCATCATGTGGGCTGGTGACAAATGTTCCAAACATCCCTGTTTTGGTCCATCATGTGCAGCACATGCACATGGTTTCTCAAGAAAGGGCGACGAGGTACTTTCATTGCAAAGACATGAAGTCAAACCACCTCACTTCAGTAAAATCTTAAGCACAAATAAGGTAGTCTCCTTCCATTTAGGGAGGCAAACACAAACTGTCTCCCAGGAATAGAGAAAAATAAAACATTCTCTGTTCTCTTCATAGGTCAACTATAGCTGATAATTTTAAATGTCACCACAAATATGAGTCACCTTAATTTTTCTGAAGCACAAGAAACTTATAGTGCTGGGGAATGGCACAGGCTGGTGTCTGACTGTCTACAGCCTTACTGGGTGTGAAGTATGTGTCCAGGAAGTCCTTGGGCACAGGGTCATGTCACAGCATGTCATAGTAGCACTGTGCATGACAAAGGGGTAAGTTCATTTCTCCATCATGTAAACACATGAGATTTCATTCCTAAAGTTTACAGTCTCTCATCTTCATTCCGAACCTCAATGTGATAGTATAAACAACAGAATAATAATCTAAATGGACTTATTCCATTTTAGGAAATTTTAGTTGAATTTCTTAACTCTAAAGATCCTTCAGACATAAAACTATTGGAATTCAGTATTCCCAGTATGAACTTACTCTTATTAGCTTTCATCACTGAATCATTTTCCCTTCCCTTTCTGTGCATGTCTCTTTTTCCTAATCTCCATATTTAGTTAATATGTTTGTGAATAACAATTTAGTATCAATCAACACTTTCTTAGGATCTAGTCTGGGTAAAGTTCTGTGCTGGACTCAATGAAGATGAAAGCAAATAAGATGAAACTTCTCCTTTCAAGCGTTCACAGTCTAAGAGGAGAATGAGTTATAAGAGATCATTGCAACACCCTGCAAGTGCTACAAATGGGAAATGGCATATGCTTTGGGACTGCAGAAAAGGAAATCACTACTGCTGTCACAAAAGTGAAGGCACATTTGGGCAAAATCTTCCTGGATAAGTAAAGAATTCACCAAGCAGATAGAAAAGGGAAGTATGTTGAAGAAAAGAAGAGGCCACATGCAAAGGCATGAAAGAAATAAAAAAAAAAACAGGCTGGAATATTTGGGGAACTGTGGAATGACTGTGTTAACTGGAGGACAGGAGATAAGGATAAAACGTTTATGGGCCAGATAACAATAAAGACACTGTTATATGTTATGTTTTGAATTTTTAACTTTATTCTATAAGCTAGAGGGAAAATGAGAGAGTATATCTTTGATCATATAATTGGTATATATATTTAGCCCAGTGGAAGCTTCATGAAGAAAAATTGAATGTCATCAAAGCTTAGCATAGTGTCTGACATGTCATTAATGTGTTTTGAATAAATGACTATATAAATACATAAATTGTTAACAGGAATGATGGTATAGTATGAACAGATTTGTATTTCAGAAAAAGAACTCACATGA